TCCTAAATCTTAAACCCCTCAAATACCCTTCTGGTTGCGATACTCTTGCTACAGTAGCGACACTTCCTCTCGCTACAGAAAAAATCTCAGCAAAAACTGCATTCTTATTTTTGCAGAATTTCTATACAACGAGACTGCATCCAGAAATGTATCCTCCTCTCTTGCCATTTCGCTGCAGCGAGAACGCAACAAAATCATGCTTCTCACCCAGGGCCTTCTCGCTACAGCGAGAACACCCTGCAGTACACACTTAACTAATATTTTCAAGCAATCCAACTACATCCAATCTCTCAATACACAACCAACATCCACAATTATACACACACACATATATATATACATTCATATACATGTATTCACACATATACACATACATTCACATCATCATACTCGTCGAACACCCATTCAAATAAAAATTCACAATTTATATTAATAATCAATAATTTACAAAACTTAGAGTGTTACAATTAGAACAATTTTGATTATTGTAATAATTTAATTTTAAATATTATTTATTAAAATAATATTAATAAGTATATTTGATGGTATTTAAAAAATTTTGAAACAAATAAAAAGCATCACACACTAGATTTAAAAAAAATATTATTGTGACACTTATTTTTGTAAAATAATTTTTAAACACTATCAAATCCATTCATTTTAATAAGTAGTTATTAAGTTATATTTTTTTAAAAATAGATTTTAGAATTTAATTAATATAGTAAAAAAAATCAATATATTTATATTGTTTGAGATTTAGTATGATTTAATTTGATATGTTTTTATTTTATTTTATACAATTTTTTCTTATTTTGTATGATAACTTAATTCTCTATTTTTTTTATTACATAAGCACTCAATTTTTTATGCAATTATATAAATAAGAGAATATATATTAAAGTAATATAACAATAGAAAAATGCATATAAAATTATTAAACCTCAAGGATTGTGAGGATTGCTCTGAAAAGGGCTCAAAGAAGAAAGATGGAGTCGGTGAGTGTATTTTGGGGGTAATAATAGTTCACATTTGTCGCATAGTGGAGCCTTTGAAGGTAAAAAATTTTGGAACTTAATGTGTGAAACTTCTTAACTAGTATTGCGAAGAAGCTTTATGCAGAAAGGTGATGACACTAACAAGTTAGAATTGGACAATTTGGATTTAGAGTGTTCAATAAGTTAGAAGCTATAGAACTAGGCTTGGAGAAATAGTTATTAAGTCTAAAAAAATAATTAGGATTGGTTGTGCATGACAATGAACTTGAGGTGCTCAAAAGGTTACAAGATCCAAGATCTAGAACAAAGAGATGTGGAAGTAGTGAATATTTTAGTAAGTACCATAGTGGCTCTAAAAATTGAGGCAAATCATGCCCCGCGATGGGCGCTAAAATGTTCGTACTAGGTAATCACCAATCTTCTTGTCTCCGTTGGTTTGAGGTGACGTCCTTCCTTATACTACTGAAGCAGGTATACCTACAAAAGGCACTCCGATGATGAAGTCAAGTACGAATTTAGGTAATAAATGCTATTTAATATTCAAAAGTCTACCTTTTACCTATACATCTTACCTTCCTTTTATAGGCATTATTATGGGTTAATGAGCTTTGTGAGTCAGTCCTATTTTTAGCCTTTTAATTAAGCTGGTAATATTTTTTATCATTTATCCAAATAAACTTAATTATTCTTTAATTCGTTATTAACCTGATTGAAGGGGTACTTGTCTCACTTAGGCCGAATGGGTACTCGGATTCTTTTTTTACAAGAAAGACCGCGTAGTATCTTATCTAGTACAACTACTAAAATCGTTCTAAATATAGCAACACAAGTAAACCCTAAACCCTAAAATTGTAAGTGTTGGCTCCTAATGAGACAACACTCTCAGAGCTTGACACGTTATCACGTGTGTCATCCCTGTTCTAAATGAATTTCATATCACGTGGCCTGCCCACCACAGATCGAGAATTTGTTTCAATGCAGCCCTATTTTAGTAATTTAAAAAAAAAAATACCCAAAAAGGCAAAAAAGCCTAAAACAAACCCTTAAGGAACTAGGATTTAACTTTAAGCTACTAAAGACCTAAATCCCTTGCACTGTTTTGGTTCATGTTAGTGGTGGAAGGGCTTAGTTACCTAATAAGGAGCGCATTGGACAAATGTATGTTTACAAGTGTTGGAAAGGGTGATAGTCCTTTGATTTTTCTGTTACAATTTGCAAATGATAAGCTTATGTTCAGGGAGGCAACACAACAAAACTTGTAGACCCTAAAGGCAATTTTGAGAAGCTTTGAACTAGTTTTGGACATGAAGATCAAATTTCACAAAAGTTGCATTGTTGGTATTAATACGGAAGTGAAATGTATTGATTTGGTGACCTCTTTTCTTAATTGTAAGGTTTGTAATCTTTTGTTTCCTTATTTGGGCTTGAAGGTGGGAGATAATCCAAGGAGACATGGGGACATAGGGCTTGGATTAGGCTACCCAAAATTCTTAGAGGTAAACTTGCATCTTGGAAACATAGGTTTATCTCCTTGGGTGGTTGGGTTACTTTGATAAATGCAGTGCTTAATAGTATACCTTTGCACTATTTATCATTTTGGAAAATTTCAAATGGTGTACTTAAGGAGGCTATAAGCATACAACAAAATTTTCTATGGAGCAAAGTTAATGATAAATAAAAAATTCTATGGGTCAAATGGTCATTAATTTGCAAATCGAAGAAGGAATGAGGGGGGGTGAAGGATTGGAGAATATTTAATCCCAATTTACTGGGTAAATAGATGTGGTGAGGCTTATCAAATCTTTGTTGTACATGAATTGCTATTTTATGTGTGAGGTATGGACCTTTTACTAAATTCTTTAAGTGTGATTCTATAGATGTACATGTCTCTTAGTGGTGGAAGGATCAATTTTGAGTGATGCAACAAACAAATAGATGGTTTGATGTGTGTACTGTTAGGCGAATTGGTGTAAAAAGTGCAACTCAATTTTGGATAGAAAAGTGGTGTGAGGAGACAAGACTGATGGAGGCATTTTCTTGTTTATTCTCTATTATGGTGAATAATAATTTTTTAGAAGCGGACAATGGTTATAAAGTTGGGTCAATGTGAAATTGAGGTAGAATGGTGCAAATCATCTGGGGTAAATCTTTAAACACAAGAGTAGGATGTGTGAGTGTTGCAAAGTGATCCGAGTGGGGATTTTTCAGTGAAAGCAATATATAATTATTTGCATTCGTTACTGGGACATGTGCTAGTTTTATCTCAAAATGTACATGTTACTTTGAAAAAAGTATGGAAATCATAGGCTCTTCATAAAGTTTTGGTGTTTATTTGGCAAGTGTTGTTGAATGCAATCTCATCTAATATGAATTTATCAAAATGTGAAGTCTTTCTTGTATTATTTGATTGATGTTTATGTAGCACATATGAATAAGAAATTGCACATCTGTTTCTACTGTGTGAGGTAGCCCAAAAGGTTTGGTATTATATTTTGTCTTGCTTAGATTTGATTATGCCTTTATTAGGGGATATTTCGACTCTAAAAATTGTCTTTGTGCGAGGCCTTTGCAAATGGGAAAAGGTAGAAAGTGATCATGTCAGTATGGATGTAGAGTATTTGGCTATATCAAAATAGGATTGTTTTTAATTATAGAGTTCTGAATGTGATAGAGGAGATTAAATTCTAATTCTAAAAATGAGTCTCTTTACAATTAAAAAATTGGAAGGTTCTATATTCGAATTGAATAAGAAATTCAAAACCATGTATTAATTGTCATGATTACTTTTTCATGTGTGTAACTAGTTTTAAATATCCCCTAACACTCAAAAGCTTATAAAAGAAAGTTCATTTTATTTACTAAGTTTTGTATTATTTATGATAAATAATATATAAAATGAATTATTTTAGGTTTTTTTTTTTATATGAATTAGTGTTTGTAATAATGGGTAGTTCAATAAAATTTACGCATATAATTTATCTAAAGTAATAAAATATATAAAATGAAAAGAGTGAATCTTTATTTATTTTTGTTTTAAAAAATAACTGGATAAATAAATATTTAAATTCAAATTAATGATAGATATAAGGATATATTTGAGACATGTTTTTTTTTCTATTTTTTAATTTTTTTTAATTGGTCAATTTTTTTAAACTCAAACTTTACTCAATCAAGACCTAATAATATTAGAACAAGACAATGTTAACTTAATTTATAAAAAAATTTAATAATATTAATATTACAAACAATTAAATTTTTTAATTAACTAAATATAATTATTGATGGTATATATTTTAAAATAAACAATATCAATATAAATATCATATCATAATACGTAAAAAATTATATATAAAGTATTGAAATCTTATTAGCAATACATAAATTACTTTTAAAAGTATAAATATTTTTAATGGACGTGAACCTAAACTGGGACAAGTCGAGTCTTAGGTAGATTCATGTTCATTTGTTGAATTTGATATAAAAAAATATAAATAATTTTTAAACTTACTTTATTTTTCAAAATTTTAACTTAATTAACAAAAAGTAAAATTAAAAAACCTAACGTCTTAAATACTTTATATATTATACTGAAATGTTAAATGATATTTTGCACCAAAAATTGGTAATGATATGAAAGTTAAAACAAAATATCTTATTAAGTTAAAAAAATTGAAATTAGAATAACATAACTAATTAAGAATTTTATATTAATAATTAGGGTTATTATTGAATGAGTATATTATAAGTATGTTAGTTTAGTTTTTTGGCTTTATATTTTGTTTGAAATATTTTACTTTAAAATATAAAATAACCAATTTAAGAATTGAATTATTGACACACGTAATCATAACTAACCAAATACAATTTCAAAAGCATTACACATTATCGGTCATGGGATTAATACACATTCAATTATATAATTGCTTAAACCCATTTATGAAATAGCCCATGTTAATCTGGGCCATGAAATAGCCCATGTAAACACACACAGTGTCATCGTATCGTACTGAAAGAAAGAAGAAAAAACAAATGATTGAGTAGTGAGTGCTTTCTAACGAGGGAGGAAGCGAACCAGAGTGTGAATCTGAAACTGAAACCCTAACTTATAACAACGATGCATCGTTTTCTCTCTTCCATTCGCCATGGCCGTGGATCTTCCCTCATTTCTCTTCTTGCACCTAAGCCCTCGCTTCCATCCAACGCTGCTCTACGACATCACCGTTTCTCGCTGTTTCCCCAAAACGACGGTAATCTTTCAATCTCTCTACTTTTATTAAAGGAAAGTCGTAGGGATCATGCTTGTAATTTTCACGGCGTCGTTTCGATATATAGATAGATGGAGGATTAGTGAGTGTTAACAGTTTTCAAAGCGGAAAAGAGAATGTTATGTCAAGCTCGAAGTATATATGCAATTTTCGTTTATGTGAATTGGGCGCTGAGGTTGTTAATTTTGCTAACAAATTCATCAATTTAGGGACCCATGCAGCATAAGTAATGTTTTTCTGGGATCGAGTTGTAGGTTTATTGTGTAATCGTTTAAAGCGTTTAATTGTATATAATATGTTGTAGTGCATGGGTGCTGTGCTTAGTGTGCTACTATGGTCACTGATAAGTGATTCCTAATTGTGATTTGAACTCAGATGGACTTGCGCGCTCGTGCGTGCACACACACACACACACACACCCCGTTCTAATCTGTTTCAGGAAAATCATTGTAATGGGAAAGCCATCCTTCTTATGAATGATTTTGGAGCGTATCATCAAGATATTAGCATAGATGATGATAATGATAATGGATTCCACAGTTCTACATATTGAATGATTTTAGAAATGTCTTTTGTATGACATGTAGCGATTTTGGGATGCCCGCATTTGAGGGGTGGTGTTGTTTTCCTTTTTTCGAGTTGCTTTTATCAATCATTTTTGTCGAAAGATTGGTGCATTAGTGACTGGTTGCTTTGTTTATTTGGGAGTTCTTGAATTGTGTGTTTTCAGTTCTGAACTGAAATGTGTGATATTGATCCATGTAACGATCAGCTTTGTCATGTTATCCTCAAAGTTGGGCTCCTTTATTGATGAAATTAGGAAAACAGAAAAGGGGTAGTAGCAGTAGTAATGGATACCCCAAATCATTCTATCATTTAATTTGTAAGGTTTAGTTTTCCTTTCCTGGGTCATCTCAACATTCATTATAAGGGAACTTATTCAATATTTTCAAACTGCAGAATATGTTAGAGGATTTTCAAGTGTCAATCGGGATTGGAGGAGGAATAATCTGAGCCAGAATGTGAATGAAAATGTGAATTCTCATCGTGATTTTATCCAAGATTTAAAGAACATAAACTCCAGAAGTGGGAATAATCTGAGCCAGAATGTGAATGAAAATGTGAAGTCTCATCGTGATTTTATCCAAGATTTAAAGAACATAAACTCCAGAAGTGGGAATAATCTGAGCCAGAATGTGAATGAAAATGTGAAGTCTCATCGTGATTTTGTCCAAGATTTAAATAACATAAACTCCAGAAGTGGGAATAATCTGAGCCAAAATGCGAATGCAAATACTCCTCCAGATTTTATGAATGATAAAGAGAACATAAACTTCAGAAGCGGGAATGATGCTGAGACTGGCCAGAATTCTAGGCCTATGGATTTTGTAAGAGGAATTATTGAGGACGATAACGTTATGAGGGTTTCTTCTCAGTATCATTATGAGCAGGATGCTGATTTTGTTCACATAAAGATGTTGCGTAACAATACCTTTGTTACTGTAACAGATTCTAAAGGAAATATAAAACTCAGTGGTTCTGCTGGTTCCTTGAAAGAGATGAAAGCAGGGCAAAAGCTTTCAAGGTATGCTGCTGAAGCAACTGCAGAAGTTGTTGGCCGAAGAGCTAGGGGTTTGGGGTTGAAATCTGTTGTCATGAAAGTGAATGGATTTACTCATTTTCGGAGGAAAAGGCAAGCAATAATGAGCTGGAGGGAGGGATTTACTGATTCTCGAGAGGATAGAAATCCAATTGTATTCATTGAAGATACCACTCGAAAACCCCATAATGGCTGCAGACTCCCAAAGAAACGACGCATTTAGATGTCTGTTATTGGGGCGGTCGAAGAAGCTTTATTTTATTTGGATGCAGATTGCACATGCTGATGTTTTTACTAAGCATATTTCATTATGATTCTAGTTGCTACTTGTAGATTATATGTTTGCTGCCTCTTGTCTACCTTTACATTTTGTACCATTATCAAGGTTCATTAACTGGTTTTTCTGTAGCAGTATGTACCGATGGGCTTTTCTCAATATAAGGTTATGGTAATTATATTGATCCTGTGTAACCTTGACAACCCATGCTCCTTTTATTTTTTTTACATGAAAAATAAATGACGAAATGAAAATAGTACCAGTCGTCATTTACATTTGGCGTTTAACCAATGCTTTGTTATACACAAGGGATCATGTAGACACCTACACAATAGTCAGATCTAAATCAACGCAACTTCCACTCTAGTTCCGCAGCACAAGTTTTAGATTGGTGTTGATTTTGTAGTCTGGGGTGTCTTGTGAAAATGGGATCATCATTCTTTTCAAGACCAAAATTATCGTGTAAACTTAAATTTTCATTTTAAGCAAACAGGCAGTCATGTGTTAAACCAATAGATAGCGGAGTCACAGCCTACGCCATGATTTATTTTGACATTGAAATGGTCTGACAAACAAAAATCTTCCTCCGAAAGTTAAATACAATCCTCTATTATCATAATTTTACTTTTTCAAAAGAAGAGGCCCAACATTATCCCCGGTGGCTTTGTTGTGCTTTACATGGCTCCCATCACAAAGAGGAAAAGTCCCTGATCTCCAACATCTGCACCCAAGCACCCAGAAAGATTAAGATTTTTGGAATTTAAGCATCATACGCATAACTTTCAAAACTCAAACCACATCAAACGCGGACTATATGTAGGAAAAATTCAAGACTTTCCACGTAAAATTATATTTCTAATAAAAGCTTTATTTTTCAAACCTGTTATTTCAGACCATATCAAGCAAGCGGTTTTTTTTTTTTTTTTTTTTTTTTTTTTGCCAATATCCTGTAAATTGGACTTCAAAGCAGTAACCTCACAAGGCTTCCAAATGGAACTCGTAAGTACCTTTTTTTTTCCCCTCATTTGAAGGGTCTCTTCAGAATAATTTATTATTTTCATGATCTATTTTCAACTTATTTCAATAAATTTTATCGTTAAATTTATGATATAAGTTATCATTTAAAAAAAAATTGAATAAGAATTTAAATAAACATTTATCCAAACGTACTCTTAATGTAATAATGATTGGTAACAGAACTTTGATGTTTAATAAATTTAGTAGATTATATGGAGAATAAAACCGCAAACTTGGTAAACAACCCTTCGTAAGCTATGATCTCAAATGTTACCTTCTATGTGATGTTCTCTTAGGTTGACAAGGACAACATACATAGAGAGTGACAGTCATATAGTTTCTATCCGAAGAGAGTTAATATTAAATGTAATAGTAGTGAACATTAAGAAATCTAGTTAAACAATGTCATAGAGATCCAAAAGAAATAATATATTGCCGTACCTATTTTAGCAAACGATAGCTTATCTTGCCATCCAAAGATAATAATAGGTCAAATTTATTTAACGATAGATGGTTAAATTTAATGTTGCATGTGTAGGTCAAACTCCATTCTATACTTATTTGTTGGTTCTAATCTAGTAATATGCACGATAATGGTGCAATATGCTTCCTTAATCTAAATAGAAGCTATTTTTGTTTGGTTACAATTATAGAAAGTTTTAATGGACAGTGGTAATTTTAGATTCTTTTAAAAGTTATTTAAACTAACTTTTCAAAATATTTTAGAATCAAATTATTTTCAACTTTTGATTCTTTCTTAATCTTAACGAAACAACTAAAAACACTGAGGTGATTATTCTTTGAAAAAAATGTACTTTTTTCATGACATAATCTTTAAATGAGCCAATTCTAATTTCTTAAGGAGCTTCAGTTAGTACCGTTAATGGGCTAAGCATCTCAGGATCCATTATACCTACAACAATTGATCATAATTCATGATTATGAATCATATGCTGCAACTTCATGCAACGGTACTAGGGATTGTTTTTGAGGTATGGAGAAACTTGGTCATTGATCAGGCATATCCTAATCTAAGAAGTGTTAGCATGTTACTCACAAATAGATGATGATATTGGATCATTTTTCATTTAGGCTTGCAGCTAATTGATACTGCGTAGCATGTTCCTTTTTCATGTCATGCTGTCCCACAGTCTTTTCAAGATTTTTCTGTAGAATTCTCCCATTTGCAACCATTATCCAACTTCAACCACAAGTTCCCTAGGCCATTTGTTTCTTTTCACCAACGAAAGATGAATATACAGTTTTCTAATTTTACTATATAGATGAATCTAGCAAGTTTAAAAATGCTTTAACTTGTTATAAACACGATAAATGATATTCTGTTGAACATTATCAAGGACATTTGGGATAGTTATATTTCATTCTCAACTAATTACTTTTCTTGAAATCTTTCAAGGAATAGATGAGAAAGTTTTACTCCCACCTATGAAGAAAGATGAGAAAAGTTTTATACCCACTTACTCATAAATTAGCTTCAAAGGAATCTCTTGTTCCCGTGAAATATTTGTATTTGCTTATTACAAAATGGAAAAAAATTGTGACTTTACACTCAATTGCCACAAAAAAGTCTTTTGAGTTTAATTTTGGTACACTGTCAGTATAAATAATTTTATATTGTTAATCAATAGAAAACATTGTAAATATAATTTTTATATTAATTATACAATTCATAATTAGATGACAATGCAAAAATCTTTGGTTTTTGTAATTTTCTTTTTTATTTTCTTCAACCAAACCTAAGGGACACCAAATTTGAGCTGACTTGTTCAGCAACAAACTTGAGCTTATCAATTTTGAGCTGAACCATGAATGACACCAACAATGCTATTGATTCTCCAACAAAAGTTGGTTGCTTTTCTAATATTGGACAAATAATTAACACATTGATCCGATAACACGGTGCGTGCATCCACTTTCCTGTTCCAGATGAAAATTGAACAGAACAGAACCTCTCATAATGCAACTACAGTTCTATTTTTTCCCCACTTTGAAAAGTTCTACTTCATATCGTTTGAATAAAGATTTTTTTTCTTCCTGTTTTCTTCCATTTGTTATTTTACTAAAAGAATAACAATAAAACAATTTAGTGGGTAGACAACTTTTTGTTAAAATGAATTAAAAGGGAACACTCCCAATTTAGCTCGTTGCATTATAAAAGTTAAGGGACATAGAAATAGATGGCACAATGATAAAATTAACCAAAAAGGAAAATTTCACAAACTGTTACAATAATTACCTGCAATAAGCAGTGAGTGGTTTGGAGAGTTCAGTAACCACCACAGAATCCACCACTTTCTCTTCACTCTTCCTGATATCTGGGTTTATATTCACCGCCTCAGCTTTTACCAAAACCACACGCCTTGGTCTCCTACCGCCAACACCAAAGGAACAAGGCTTGAAATGGGTACCTAAAACTCCCCTTTGGCTTTCAGCTAACCCCTTCAATGGGGTCATGCCATTGCACAAACCTCCACCAACTTGGCTTAGAACAGATTCCATTGAAAAGGGACTCTCTCTCTCTCTCTCTTTGTGCCTATCTTCTCCTGGCTTCACAACTATCAGATTCAGAAACAGAGTGGATGAGATAACACACAACCAGGATTGAATTACACGTGTGTTCCTGAACTTGTGGATGGCACACTCTTAAGTTCATGTCCACATAGGCACTATGAATGGTGCCAAATACACATGTTCTTTCTAAAATCTGAAAAAAAAGGTATAATAAAACTCTATTATTAAAGTAAAATCCAAAAAAAAAAAAGTACCAAAAAGTTAATTAAAAATAGTAAAAAAGAAACCCTATAAAACACTACCTAAATTTGTAGAAGAAAATTTTATAAATGATCAGGGGACCACTAAACAGCTACTACTTGACATTTGCAGAGAAAGCAAAAAAAAGTGTAAAAATGAATGATTACTAAAACTGTAAATCTGTTACTAATTGAGAAGAAAAAGACTTTAACTTTTCATGGCTAAGAATATGATAGTTAAGTCACACCATAAAGGTCATAAATATTTTATCATGTGATGATAGATATTATCACTGTCAAGTATTCAATGCGCTGCAACTACTTGTCGACAAAAATAACATCACAACCCCTAATGCAAATCAATATGGACCATGAGACCTTAACAAGATGCCAACACAAAGTTCAAATACATTCCTTCCACAAATTTGATTTATTTATATTTTTTATTATTTTGGAAATTTTGAAATATATGTGTTTATTAAAGAGGAGCACAGAAACCTCACTAAAATATTTGGTCGTCAAAATCTTTTCTTTTTGTGTTTAAAGTATAAAAAATAAGTAACTTCATTCTTTAAAATTAAAAAGTAACATTTCATTAAAAATGTTGTCATATTAAAAATATAATATATTATATTTTTAAATAAAGATTTATTATTTACAAATACTTAAATTCAATCTTAAAACTTAAAGTTGATAAAATCTTCAAATTAATGTTTACACCAACTTGTTTTACTGATATATACAGAAATGAAAATAAGAATATCCATAGGCACGAAAAAATTAATTGTATACATCAATAGATAAATGAAAAAAATGTATAATAGACACAATAATATATATATATATATATATATATATATATATCCAATATAACTATTTTGTAACATCTAATTGAACCCATTATGAACTACAAATATTTTTAATGGTCGAAGATAAACTCATAAAAAACTTTTCAAAATTTCAGATTATAAAAGTGAAATCACATGATAGCATAAATATAATATATCAAAAGCAAAAAGGCACACGTTAGTTGTACCACCAAATAATCAATGCCGTAAAAATAGAAAATTGTCGAAAAGTAAGAAGGAAAGGGACGCAACGACCACCATAAGATTATAAAAGCAAAACGTTAACTCTTCTTCCTTCCAACTAACAAAACTTACGAAATGGAAAGGAAAAAGGAAAACTATCAAAATAAATTATATAATATTTTAAAGGTGCAGAGTCCAAAATAATAAATATTTGCTTTATTTTTCATATATAAGTATATATAATCTCTTTAACTTAAATTATGTATAATTTTATTTTTAAGACTAATTAAGTATTTTTACTTTAAATATTTAACAAATTTGATTTTCTGCCGCTTTATTTTGCTTCAAACTTCTAAATCTTCAATTTTTTTATTCAAAATATTTACAAATTAAATTAAGTGAATTGTCTTTTACTCAAAACTCATTAATCAAAATATCATATTTTATCTGAATTAAAAAAGCTCACAATATTCTCCTTCCAAAATTTAATCTCACATTTTATTATATTCTTAAGTTTTTACTAAATTTCCTACTTTTTAAACTTTTAAAATGAGTTTACATCTCAATTTCATTACAAAAATCCAAAAAGTTTAAACATAAATTTTAATTAGAAGATAATCAACATAAATTTAACTTATATAATTTAAAAATAAAAAACCTTCATGATTTTAAAATTAAAATTACACTGGGTTGAAAGTAAAAAGACTAAAATTACAATTAAGTTTAAATTAAAAAACACAAAAATACCATTGAAATTACAGAAAAGCCCCTCAACCTTTCCTGCACCAAAGTGACAAATGAATCAAGGATGATGCATTCACATTCACATTCACATTCACAATAATAATAGTAATAACAACGATAACGCAAATGCAACTAACCTCAAAGTGCTGTGGTGAGAGCTTCTGAAATCGGAAAACCGTTTTCCCTCCCTGCAATCTCTTCCTTTCCATTTCCATTTCCCTCTCTTTTCCATGCTTTACGCGCCAAATTGATCCAAACCCAAATTCGCAGCACTCACTTCACCACCTAAACGAAGATGAACAAATGGGGTGTGTTTCGATTCTGGTGCTGCGTTTTGTGCTTCGTGATCTGCGCTAGGGTTTGCTTTTCGGCCAGATCCGACAAGGAAACTCGAGAGAGGTTCTACGGAAACATGCTCAATTCCTCTTCACCTGAATCCAACGATGGCACCTTGGCTAAGATGTTCGATCGCGTACTCGAGAAGGAGTTTTCCGAGAATGACCAACCTGAAGGTTTTGTTTGGTTTTTCCTATTTTCTACTTTTTAAAAATATATATAATATGGAAAAAATTAGGTTGATGGGGTTGGTTAAAGTTTGAGACTTTTTGTTGTTTTCGAGAAAATGGTTTGTTGGGTTAGCTGGGTAGTTGTGAAGTGGTGAAGCGGTTGCTGTGTTGAATTGAATGTGTTGTGTAATAGGAATGATGCATTTGAAGTTTGAGGGTGTGTTTGGATAGAAGAAAATGTGGGGCACGTGAGAACGATATAGTTATTGGTAACTTGTTAGTGAGTTGGAAAAAAAGAGGTTGAAGGAGTTCTGGACTTGGATTGTGTAATGAGAGCGGTGAGTGAGGATGTACAGTGGAGATTGGTGGGTGGGTAGATTAATCGTTCGTCATTGCTCAGTGATAGTGGAGCTATTGGGTGTTAAAATTCTCTTAGTTGTGTATTTAGTATAATAGCATCTAGATATGCTGGATCTATGGCAAGGTTTGAAGCAGAATAGTGTTGTTCTAAGTTTGTGAAATTAGCAGTAAATCATGGTAGGAGGGATGAGCCGACGAGCTACACTTGTTGAGAGATGCACAAAAACTTACATTCACCCCTTTACTGCCTCATATTTAGTCATATTGATTGAGGTCATGGACTCATGAAGCTATAGCTTCTTTTTTCTTTCTTTGAAATGAAGACACTTCCAAGTATTTTAAAATGTTTTTATCATGATATTAACGGTGGTATGGAGTGGATATGATCTGGCATTTATTTTATCCTAATAAGCTTTCAGTTTTTTATACTCGTTGCTGCACTGGTACAATTTAATATTCTTTGTGTTTTGAATATGAATGTGGTCATGGATGATCTGTGAGTATCATAGTCTAAATGTTGCTCTATTGTACTTTCAATTGTTACTTGTATTTTTTTTTTTTCAGAATTTACTTGTGAGATGACACACTAGATTTAGTTGTCACAAACCAACATGTGAATTGTGAAGCTCATTGATTTGTTTTAAGTGGATTGTCTGTTATTCTCATTATTTTTTTTATCCTTAACAGGCTCTGATAAAAGCAGCTTCAATAGCAGTGTAGCTGATCAACAGGTGGGCCTGATATTATGGTTTTCAACGGTAGTGTTGAAGTGGATGTTTTGTAAAAAATGATGCTGGACTATTTACCTTCAATTTCAAATATTACATGAAAAGCAAGTTGAGTCTATATCTGGGATCTTGTAGTTTTTCCCTTCAAATCTTGATGTATCAATTTAAAAGTCTTCATCACATGTATGAAAGTGTAATTGCTTATTGCTTTATTACTATTATGAGCTTTTCATTTTATTTTCTCTTCCTCTAGTATATTACATGAATGCAAAACTCTGATGTTGATGTTTGAGCTGTTTTTTGTCTTCATGTATCCCTCACACATTTTCATGTCGTGCTAATAACTACTACTTGGGCTTTGCTGTTGAAATTGTATTGTTTTGGTAAGGAAGGAGGAAGAGAGAGAAAAGCGGTACCAAGAATAGTAAGATTATATTGATACAGCATATAATGACATTATTTAAAATCTAACCAAATGGTCCATTTTACAGTAATAATTAGGTCCAAAACAAGTGTGGTATTACTAGTTTAAGCCCAATGCACTAATATAAAATATACAATAAGACTACTAACCCTAATTAAAATAAGGAAATAAATAGTGAAATATAATGAAAATAGGAAACAATTCCTAAGATTTCTCTTCAATTAGATGAGTAATTGATTCCATGGCATATTTTAAATATCTTATTAGACAGTCTTAAAATATATACTGAGTATATTATGATATATTCTAACATTTGCCAGTTCCTCCTAGTTGAACAACTCTGGGTAAAAATATTTTTCCCCGAGTTTTTTTAAATATAAAGGCGAGTTTTGACCATCTGGTCTTTTGCAGGCTGTATTGGAGACTGTAGCTAAAATTACGCACGAGAAAGCAAGGAGAAATGATACACATGAGGGCAAGTATGGTCATATGTTGCCTAATGTAGCTAAAATTACTCAGTTGCATCTTATAATGGATAATTGAATGTAACTTTATTGGTATACTCAATAAATTTTTTATTCTTTTTGAATGATTATTTTCCTCAGTGGCACAAGATCATTTCAGTTTCAAGATGTTTTCTCCCTGGAAAATGAAGATTCTGATGATGTGACAACTTTGATTGACAAAAAGGTGTGTAAAAGATCTGACTGATGTTAATTACTTTTATTCATGTTTCAACCTGCTTATCTGTTTATACTATTGCATGCCAGGACAATGTCTTTGTAATGTCCAACAAGAAATCCAAATATCCTGTGCTTCAAGTGGATTTGAGGTTAACATTTGTTATCACCTTTATCCTTGTAATTACTATTCAGGGAATGCTTTATCTGCTTTGTTGACTTATTGAAGGATATTGATTGTGTTAAGAAGTTGCTTTAATGTTGGACAAAATGCTATTTTTCTGGGTGATTTCTGCTGGTCAAGATATTGCTGGATTATGGAATGTGTTATTTTAATGATGTGTTAGTTTT